ACAAAAATTAGCCAGGCACAGTGGCTCATGCCTGTAATCCTGGCACTTTGGGAGGCCAAAGTGGGTGGATCACCTGAAGTCAGGAGTTCAAGACCAGCCTGGCCAACATGGCAAAACCCCGTCTTTACTAAAAGAAATACAAAAATTAGCTGGCACAATGGCTTGCACCTGTAATCCCAGCTACTCCAGAGGCTGAGGCAGGAGAATCACTTGAACCCAGGAGGTGGAGATTGCCATGAACTGAGATTGCGCCATTGCACTCCAGCCTGGACAACAGAGCAAGACTCTGTCTCAAAAACAAAAACAAAAAGAACAGCCCCTTACGAGTTCTGCTGGGTTCTTTGAGATGAACAGGCTGCCTATCCTGATGTCAAGGAGCTCCCAGCCTAATAGAGGTGACAAATGAACAACAATGAAGAAGTGAAGTGCATTTCATGCTAGAGGTGCCATGGAGTTTGGAGGAGGAATAGATTATCTTGCTGGTGAGTTTGTAAACCAGTGCCAAAGTGATGATGCCTCTGTGTGATGTTAATAGTTCACTAGTTACGCCCACACTCTTCTTAAGTCTCTGGACTAGAGGCTCATATTTCTCAAATCTCCTGTGCAAAGACATTTTTAACTTGAGTGCATATGTCAGAGAAAAATATGTATGCTTTCTAATATCGTTCAATTGAACATTTCCAAAATGTCTGGTAAATAATGTCTGAGAATGCCCAGGTCTTGCTGGAGGCTGGTTATAGCTATGGCAGGGTGCTGCAGTCATGAAGAGACAGTGGGTCCTTGCCTGCCTGCCCTATAGTGTGTATTCCGTAAAAGTGCCGTTATTCAAGTTGTCTTGCTTTTAGGCTTTTGAAATGTTTGGATTTGGGATGTTTTGGAAATTTCCCTGTCCAAAATTTTTGGAAGATAGGGATGGGGATCGGGATGATAACTGTTCTTTTTTTTTTTTTTTGAGACAGGGTCTCGCTTTGTTGCCCATACTGGAGTGCAGTGGTGTGATCATGGCTTACTGCAGCCTCTACCTCCCAGGCTCAAATGATCCTCCCACTGCAGCCTCCTGAGTAGCTGGGACTACAGTTGCATGCCGTCATGTCTGGCTCATTTTTGAACTGTTTTGTAGAGACAGTAGTCCCCACTTTGTTGCACAGGCTGGTCTCAAACCCCTGGGCTCAAGTGATCCACCTGCCTCAGCCTCCCAAAGTGCTGGCAGGATTACAGGTGTGAGCCACTGCGCTCAGCCAATTCCTGTTCTTAAAGAGACTATAACCAGCAAAGTTCATTCAGTGGAGTTCTGGCTCTACTATAATGGTTACTGGAAAGAGGTCCTGATCCCAAACCCAAGAGAGTGTTCATGGACCTCGCACAAGAAAGAATTCGGTGTGAGCCTGTAAAGTGAAAGTAAGTTTATTAAGAAAGCAAAGGAATAAAAGAATGGCTACTCCACAGACAGAGCAGCAGGATGGACTGTTCGACTAAGTATACTTATAGTTATTTCTTCATCATGTACTAAACAAGGGGTGGATTATTCATGAGTGTTCCAAGAAAGGGGCAGGCAGTTCCCAGAACTGAGAGTTTATCTCTACTTTAGACCATATAGGGTAACTTACAGACACTGCCTGGCATTTGTAAGCTGTCATGGCACTGGTGGGAGTGTCTTTTAGCATGCTAATGTATTATAAGTCGCATATAATGAGCAGAAAGGATGACCAGAGAGGTCACTTCCATCACTATTTTGGATTTAGTGGGTTTTGGCTGGTGTCTTTACTGTATTCTGTTTTATCAGCAAGGTCTTTGTGACCTGTATCTTGTGCCGACCTCCTATCTCATTCTGTGACTGAGGCCATCTAACCTCCTGGGAATGTAGCCCAGTAGGTCTCAGCTTTATTTTACCAAGTCCCTATTTATGAAGGAGCCACTCTGCTTTGAATGCCTCTGATACAATGGCTCCTAAGCCTGGCAAATCAGCAAAGTTTCCTTTAAAAAAAATCTGTCTGTCTATCTAGGTATCTGTCTATTTATCTGTCTATCTTTGAGACAGGGTCTTGCTATTTCACTTAGGCTGGAGTGCAGTGGTGTGATCATAGCTCACTGTAGCCTTGAACTCTTGGGCTCAAGCTTGATCCTCTCACCTCAGCCTCTTGGTAGCTGAGACTGAAGGTACACACCACCATTCCCAACGAATTTTAAAATTTTCTGTAGAGATGGGGGTTTCACTACTCTCTATTTTTCCCAGACTGATTTTGAACTCCTGGCCTCAAGTGACCCTCCTCCCTTGGCTTCCCTAGGTGCTGGGATTACAGGGGCATGAGCCACTGGGCCTGACTGTTGTTTATTGCTGTAGTTCTTTAGCAAAGGCTTTCATCATAATCATTTGATCAGCATTTTGAATCTGCTATTGCCCTAAATGCATGGAATTTTAATTCTGTGGGTTTGGGGTCAAGCAGAACTATAGGTCTTTGCTGATTTGGATGCATAATAATAGTGGAAACTCTGACTCATGGCAATGATTTTTAAATATCTTTTATCCTACCCCTGTCAATAAAAGATTTTTGAGCAGTCATTCCCCAATATATGGATTTTTAAATTTATTTATGAATTATATATGTGTACTTCTGTTTGATGTGCAAACACAGATGTTTTTTAAAAATGAGGTAAAAATAAACAGCATTGACAGTTCTAATATTTTTATCTCCGTCCCCTAGTGGATACACTGAGGATCCCACTGTGTAGCACACTGAAAGAACAGGGCCAGTGGTTCTTTAATTGGACCCCAACTCTTATTTAGATGCTACTGTCATAGGTAGCTGTCTGAAACAAAATCACCTGTTCCCACCCCAACCAAAGCACTCCTACTCCATTCCTTAATTTATGCAGTAATTCAACACATGTATAGGTTTAGCAGACATGATCCAAAAATCCAAAATCCAAAGTGCTCCAAATTGTGAAATATAATACTCAAAGGAAGTGTTCATTAGAACATTTGACATTTAGGATTTTTTGATTTGGGACACTCAGCTGGCCTGCCAGTATTCTCAAATCCAAAAAAATCCCAAATCCCAAACACTTGTGGTCCCAGGCGTTTCAGATAAGGGACAATATTGTGCAAAGTGTTGAATGAGGGACTGGTGATATAGTGAGGTCAAGGACCCAGATTATGCCAGCATAAACATTAAACAGTTGATTACTTAATATTACATTACTATAATTTTGATGTTTGCTAAAAAGTGTGAACTCAAAAGTATCTGAGACAAGTCTCAAAGAAAGTTTAGAAAGTTTATTTTGCCAAACTTAAGGAGGCACCCAAGACACGGTCTCAGGAGGTCCCAATGACATGTGCCCAAGGTTGTCAGGGTACAGCTTGCTTTTATACATTTTGGAGAGACATAATATATCAATCAATGCATTTAAGATTTACATTGGTTCAATCTGGAAGAGTGGGACAATTTGAGGCTGGCGGTAGGAGGGCTTGCATGTTATAGGTAGATTTATAAATTTTCTGATTGGCAGTTGGTGGAAAGAATTATTATGAATGGAAAGGAATGTCTGGGATATGTTAAGAGGTCGTGGAGACCAAGGTTTTATCATGTAGATGAAGCTTCCAAGTAGCAGGTTTCAGAGAGAATAGTTGGTAAATGTTTTGTATCAGACCTTAGGTTTGTATTGATGTTAATACTGGTTGGCTTCTCCTGAATTCCAAAAAAAGAGGAGGATGTAATGAGGCATGTCTGATCCCCGCTTCCATCATAGCCTGAAACAGTTTTTCAGCTTAACTTTGGAATGCCATTGGCCTAGAGTAGGGGTCGTTTCAGATGGTTGGGATTATTTTTGATTTCTGAAAGAATATCTATGTAACCTGAGAATGACCTCTTATGGAGGGTTTGAGAAATCTGTAATTTGGCAGCAGGAGGGTCATTGAAGCAAAGCTAGAGTGTTTCAGATCTAGAGGACAGAGGTGGAAATACCACAGCACAAGATGCAACTGAAGATGTGAGCAGAGACCAGGGGTCATGTGGGCTTAGTAGACCATATTAAGGAATTTAATCTTTATTTTGAGGGTAAGGTAATCCATTGAAGGATCTAAGGGAGAGTGACAGGGCCAGATCTGCATCTCAAAAGATCACTTAAAGGTGCAGCAAGTTGTATCAATTCTTTCCCTTCCTTTTCCTTTTCTTTTTGAGATAGAGTCTCATTCTGTCATCCAAGCTGGAGTGCAATGACGTGATCATGGCTCACCGCCACCTCAACCTCCTGGGCTGAAGCCATCCTTCTACCTTGGCGCCCCAATAGCTGGGACTACCGGTAGGCACCACCATACCTGGCTCATTTAAAAATTTTTATTTTTTTTTTTTTTTGAGACGGAGTTTCGCTCTTGTTACCCAGGCTGGAGTGCAATGGCGCTATCTTGGCTCACCGCAACCTCCGCCTCCCGGGTTCAGGCAATTCTCCTGCCCCAGCCTCCTGAGTCGCTGGGATTACAAGCACACGCCACCATGCCCAGCTAATTTTTTTTTGTATTTTTAGTAGAGACGGGGTTTCACCATGTTGACCAGGATGGTCTCGATCTCTTGACCTCGTGATCCACCCGCCTCGGCCTCCCACAGTGCTGGGATTACAGGCTTGAGCCACCGCGCCTGGCCTAAAATTTTTTGTAGACCTGGGGTTTCACTATGTTGCCTAGGCTGCTCTCAAATTCCAGGGCTCAAGTGATCTTCCCACTTCAGCCTCCCAAGGTGCTGGGATTGTAGGTGTGAGCCAGTGTGCCCAGCCTGTTCTCTCCCTTCTTGTATTTAGAAACCGTTGCTTTTACAGCTGCCCTCAGATTACACTCCCCTTTTCCCTACTTTCTATAAACTCTTACACGTCCTCCAAGGTCCATCTTTGTTGTCACTTTCTGGTGAAGGCTTCCTCCTCCAAACAACCACACCCTTTAGAGCTAATCTGTTCATATATATATAATTATTTCTACTTTTAAAAAATTTTAATTTTTTTTTTACTTTATTTAAAATGTAGAACGCTTCATGAATTTGCGTGTCATCCTTTCTCAGAGGCCATTGCTAACCCCAGTATCATTCCAATTTTGGTATATGTGCTGCTGAAGCAAACACTAGAGCTAATCTCTATAAAGGCACTTGGTAGGTTTTATTGCCATTTACCTGTTTTGGTCAATTGGGGGAGGGCAGATGCAGAAAATAATTACTTGAAATCTTCATGGCACACTATCATTTGGTTTCTTTGGTTTATTCAAGGCTCCTACCTCATTTTACTTATTCCTTTCTTTCTTTCTTTCTTTCTTTTTTTTTTTTTTTTTTAGACGGGGGCTCACTCTGTTTCCCAAGCTGGAGTGCAGTGACATGATCTTGGCTCACTGCCACCTCTGCCTCCTAGGTTCAAGCAATTCTTCTGCCTCAGCCTCCAGAGTAGCTGGGACTACAGGCATATGCCACCATGCCCGGCTAGTTTTTGTATTTTTTTAGTAGAGACAGGGTTTCACCATATTGACCTGACTGGTCTTGAACTCCTGACCTTGTGATCCACCCACCTCGGCCTCACATAGTGCTGGGATTACAGGCATGAGCCACCGTGCCCAACCTTATTCCTTTCTTATTATGAAGACTTCTGTACTGTTTGTATGTGTTTTTAATGTACGTAAATGCTGTCTTTTATTAACTTTACATTTTTTACTTTTTAAAATTAGAATGATTTTTAAACATTGACTCATTTTCCTTTGTGTATCTATAGTCTGTTGCTTCTAACCAGCGCTTGGTGCTCCACAGTGGGAATTCATCATATTTTACCTATCCTCTCTTTCAGTGGTGACCACCCAAATCCTTTCATTTTGCCTTTATCACAAGCAGTGCTGCGGTGAGCAGCCTTGTATATATCCTTTAGGGGCCTATGTGAGAATTTCTCTGGGATATGAACATCCAGGATCCGAATTCTGGGGTTGGAAAGCGACGGTAGGCTTATTTAGCCAGATCCTGCCTATTGCTCCCTAGAATAGCTGCACTGACTGTGTGTTCATCACAGTGCAAGAGTCTCCGTAGCCCCATGTCTCCACCAACTCTGGGCATGTTTTGATCAATCGGGTAGCTTCAAAGTAGTATTTCACTGCTGTTTAATTTTCATTTCTCTGGTTACTGGTGGGTTGAGCATTTCAGTAAATTTGTTAGCATGTTGTTACATTGCCTATCATGACTTTGTTTACTTTTTTCTTGAGTTACTCTCATTTTCTTGTTGCCTTGCAAAACTTTCATGTTGCCTTGCAAAAACCAAGGTGGAAGGATGGCTTGAGCCGAGGAAGTTGAGGCTGCAGTGAGCCATGATCATGTTACTGTACTGTAGCCTGGGTGACAGAATGAGACCCTATCTACAAAAGACAAAGAAGAGAAAGAGTAGATACAATTTGTTGCACCCTTAAGTGATCTTTCTGAGATGTAAATCTGGCCCTGTCACTTGCATAATCTCAATGTTAGTTGTCTGTACATTTTAGATATTGAAAACATTGTCTCCTAGAAATCTGAACAGAAATGTGTAATAATTTTGCTGCACATTAATTCTTCTATATTCTCTTTATGGCTATATTTTCCATCTTGAATCTATTTGGTCTAATGATATTGAGTAGATACTTAATGTTATTATGTCAGTTTAGTATTATGTCAGTTTTTAAACTCATCTTTTCTTGATTTATGCTACGAACTTTATCATGTATTACGTTCTCATCAGTAGATGAGTCCGTTTCTGACTCTTGCACTCTCTTCTGTTCTACTTGTTCATTTAAATGTTCTTGCTTGACATTGTTTCCATGCAGTGGCTCTATAGTACATCAATGGATTTGGTTGGGACAGTCCCTCCCCTACCTCTACTTTTTTCCTCTTTCTCAACATTTATTTAGTTATTTGTGGACCTTTATTGTTCCATGTAGATTATAGAGGTTTTCAGAGATCCTCAGAAAACCCAACTGAAATCTTAGTTGAGGTTAATTTGGGGGGAGAATTGATATTTTATGATAATAAACTATCCTTTCCAAAGGTATAGATATGTCTCTCCAATTATTCTTCTCATCTTATATGTTCTTTAGATTGATTTAAAACTTTTTATTTATATTTTTTATTAAGTGAGGTTATCAGTACTTTATAGCTTTTTATGCTGTTGTGAATTAAAACTTATTTTTCAATTCTATTTTTCTAGTGAGTTTTCCTTATCTGAAGAAATGCTCTTGATTTTAATCTGTTCACTGTACTGTGTTTCTCAAGAGCAGAGGCTGTGTCTTTTGTCTCTGTATTCCCAGTGTTTAAAACATTACATGGTAAGTGATCAATGAATGTTTGTTGAATGAATGAATGAAAGAGCAGGATACATAAAGCAGAATGGGCTGCTCTGATATTTGGGTCCATACAGAGGCTTCATGGGACCATCCACAACAGTTGCAGCAGACACCCCACCACAAGGACCAAGGGAAGGGGCAGTCTATTCCTTTACATGGCTGTCTTCCTAGGGGTGATGAATTAATTCCCCAAAGTGGCTCACTTAGCTTTAGTTGGTGTCTCCTCCAGTTTCCCTCAGACCACATAGATGTTTTTGAACATAGCATTTTGCTGTCTATTATGGCTTCTTCTGGGTACTCACTCTTGGCTCAAATTTACACATCCATTTTGGAAGCCTTCACTGGAGACTTGTGGTCAGACTAAAAAGCTTGACTTGGGTCTCCAAGCCATAGTTATGAAGTACCATAGGATTGGTTGTCTTCCTGGTACTTTCTTCTCCTCAGAAGCAATGAATGAAATGAAGCAAGCACTAAGACCTGTTAACTGCTGAGCCCAGCTTGGATCCCCAAAAGCAGAAAAGGGAATTTGAATACCAAAATCCAGCTACCCTTAGGACTGGAGCAAGATTGGACACATAGGTATAGGTGCTTTTGGTATTGTTTGACAAAGACAAAGGCAACACAGAGAGGAAAGTTAGGCTTTTAAAATGACAGTTCATTTATTGTACAAATCTTGTACTGAGTGCAATCTAAAGGCTTTTCACAGCCTGGCTCCTGCCTTCATTCCAAGGCTCCCTCTTGGTCACTATCTTTTTCTGTCTCTACTGTACATGTTTTGTGCTCAAGCTGTACCTGATTGTTTGTCAAACCGTTATTTGCCAGTTATTTTTTATTCTTGGATCTTGCTAGACAGTATTCTCTGTGTGTAAAATGCTCTTCTTACCTTTCTCTATTTATCAAACATCTACTAATTCTTTTCAATGATGAATTCATGTTACCTCATCTCTGAAATCCTTCCTGACTTCTCCAAATAGAATGGTTATCTTTCATTATGTGCCACCATAATATATTCAGTATAGCCTTCTGTTAGTACATTTTTAATGCTGTGATATTATAACTAATTTATTTTTATTTTCTTATCTGCTTATTTTCTATTGCAAGCTTATTAAGATTTGGGACCATACATTCTCTGTCTTTGTGACTCAAAACTGAGCATAGCTTCTAACATAGAGTAGGTGATCAGTTAGTAAATAATTTATAAGTTGAACAAATAATTGAGTAAGTTCACCATGTAAAGAATGAGATTTTCTTCCTATACTGGTCATGCGGTTTTAGACAAGGAATTAATCTTTCTATTTATCTATAAAACAAATATATATATATATATACATTTGCTCAATTGTGAAGATGTTATATTAGTCATCTTGGGTTGCTGTAACCAAATCCCATGGGCTGATTGGCTCAAACAACACTTATTTCTCACAGTTCTGGAGGCTAGTAAGTCCAACATCAAGAAGCCAATAGATTTGATTCATGATGGAGGCTCTCTTCCTAGCTTGCACATGGCTGCCTTCTCATATTCTGCAGAGAGGAAGGTCTAATATCTCTTCCTCTAGTTATAAGGGCACTAATTCCATCAAGGGGGATCTACTCTCCTAACCTCATCTAAACACAATTATTTTGCAAAGGCTCCACCTCCCAATACCATCACATTGAGGTTGGAGCTTCACATATGAATGGGAGGGTGGGAGAAAGGACAAACATTCAGTTTATAACATATCTCATAAAACATTATGAATCTGGTTAAAATCTTTTCAAAAGAAATGTTCTAACTGTGGAGCCCGGATGAATGAACAATGAATCTTGCCATAAATATGACAGCAGTGAAACAGTTTCGAGGGCTCAGAAGAAGACAAGAAAATGTGAGAAAGTTTGGAACTTCCTAAAGACTTGTTGAATGGCTTTGATAAAAATGCTGATAGTGATGTGGACAATAAGGTCCAGGCTGAGGTGGTCTCAGATGGAAGTGAGAAACTTGTAGGGAACGGTAGCAAAGATGACTCTTGTTATGTTTTAGCAAAGTAACTGGTGGCATTTTGTCCCTGCCCTAGAGATTTGTGGAACTTTGAACTTGAGAGATATGATTTAGAGTATCTGGTGGGAGAAATTTCTCAGCAGCAAAGCATTAAAGAGGTGACTTGGGTGCTGTTAAAAGCATTCCATTTTAAAAGGGAAACAACATAAACGTTTGGATAATTTGCAGCCAGTTGATGCAGCAGAAAAGAAAAACACACTTTTTGAGAAGAAATCAAGCTGGCTGCAGAAATTTGCATAAGTAACAAGAAGCCGAATGTTAATCTCCAAGACAATGGGAAAAATGTCTCCAGGGCATGGGTCTTCATGGCAGCCCCTCCCATCACAGACCCTGAAGACTAGGAGGAAAAAATAGTTTGGGCTGGGCCCAGGGTTCCTGTGCTGTGTGCAGCCTAGGGACTTGGTGCCCTGCATCCCAGCTACTCCAGCCATTGCTAAAAGGGGCCAAGGTACAGCTCTGCCCATGGTTTCAGAGGATAGAAGCCCCAAACCTCAGCAGCTTCCTTGTGGCGTTGAGCCTGCAGGTGCACAGATACCAAGACTAGGTGGGAAGCTCCACCTAGATTTCAGATGTATGGAAATGCCTGAATGCCCAGGCAAAAGTTTGCTGCAGGGGCAGGGTCTTCATGGAGAACCTCTGCTAGGGCAGTGTGGAAGGGAAATGTGGGGTCAGAGCCCCTACACAGAGTCCCTACTGGGGCACTGTCTAGTGGAGCCATGCAAAGAGGGCCACCGTCCACCAGACCC